ATTTCAGCTGTGAGAGCACTCTGATTTGCTGTTTTCACACAGTAACATGTCTTCCTTGGTACAGCCTTTGTTTGTCTGTGTTTACTCAATGTTTAGATGACATAACAGCTGTTGTATGCAGCAGACAGAAAGTCACAGCTGGCAGCTGGGACAGAACAAAACACAGTTCAGGCCCAGTAACAGACCAGTCTGTGTGTGAAACGAGCTTTTATTCATCGAAAATGTCACAAACCTCAGTCTGTGTCACCAGCAGTGTGTAAATGTAGAACAGAACTAAATGATTAAAAGAAGTTTTGATATCACTGGTCTTCAGCCAAAATGCTTTCAGGATACATGTTATCAAACTTTAGAAATTATGAGTCACTGAAACCAGAAATGGCGCTTAAAACATCCGATGGTTTGTTGGTTGGTTTTCATGACGTGTTTGTCGGTCAGTTCTAAGATTAAAGTTCCTACCTGAAACCAGAAATTAGTGAAATATTTTTTAGTAGGTGCTCATTTTCTGATGGGCAGTCTCTCAAACTATCAATCACTTGAGCTTTTGAGTTCTACTCTGACCTGGACTTTTCTTTTAGCGGGAAATCTGTAATTCTACAAGGTAAAGTTAGACATTTTTAAAAAAAAAAAACACATTAAATTATGCGCAGCGCGGTGCAAGAACAATTTCACAGCAAGCAAGAATGTCCTGAGTTCAATTCCACCATCAGGCCAGGGGCTTTCTGTGTGGAGTTTGCATGTTCTCCCCGTGTTTGTGTGGTTCCCGCCAGCTTCCTCCCACAGTCCAAAGACATGCAGTTAGTGGGGATAGGCTATTTGGAAACTCTAAATTGCCCATAGTTGCGACACATTGGTGACCTGTCCAGGGTGTACCCTGCCTCCCACTCTAAGACAGCTGAGATAGACTCCACTGCAACCCTGAAAAGGATAAGCAAAGACAAATGGATGGACATTAAAATATACGCTTTAATGTACACTGCTCAAAACAATTAAAATACCATTTTTTAAACAGAGTATATATCAAGACATTTAAACTTCTGGGACACTGATCTGGTCTGTTAATTAGTACAGAAGTTAATTAGTTTCAGTTGCTTTGGTGTTTATGGAATTAACAGCAGGTTCGGTGGAGGGGCAACAATGAGACAACCCCTGAAGCAGCAATGGTTTTGTTGGTGACAGCTGCTGACATTTTTCCCTGCTCTTCTTTTTTTTTTGACTCTTTTTCAATAGTTTTGCATTGGGCTGTTGAGACCTGGACCCTACAGAGGTGCACAGGTAGCTCACCTCCTCCATGATGGCACATCAACACATGCCATTACCAGAAGGTCTGCTGTATGTCCCAGCACAGGTTTAAGAGCATGCGAGATTCCAGGAGACAGTTTGTTAATGTAAGAGAGCTGGACAGGGCTGTAGAAGGTCCTTAACCCATTAGCAGGACCGGTATCTGCTTCTTCAAGCAAGCAGGAACAGGATGAACACTGCCAGAGTTACAATAATGACCTCCAGCAGGACACTGGTGTGAATATGTCTGATCTAACAGTCAGAAACAGACTTTGTGAAAGTGGCCTGAGAACTGAATGTCCTTTAGTGGGACCTGTGATTACTTCCTGGTTCTATGGAGCCAGATTGGCTATGCCAGAGCTTATCAGAACTGGCAGGTCCACCACTGGCACCTTGTACTTTTCACAGAGGAGAGCAGGTTGACCCTGACCACATGCGACAGACGTGAAAAGGTCAGAAGAGGGTGGGGAGAACATTGTGTTACCTGTGACATCATTTGACATGATGAGAGAGATAACCTTCATTAGTCTAACTCGGATTCAGGTTAGGCGAGTGTTACGGGCCAATCACCACCGATTTCAAAGCTATACCACCGATGTCAAACGGTGGTGGTCCAATGATTGTCTGGGGCAACATATCCATGGAGGGATGCACAGATCTCTACAGGCGAAATTGATACCACTGACTGACCCATAACGCTCGCCTAACCTGAAACCAATAGGACATCTCTGGGACATTATGCTTCGTCCACGGGTGGCTGCCAGCTTGCGCCTCAGACTGCCCAGGAGCTCAGTGATGTCCTGGTCCAGATTTGAGGGGAGCTCCCCAAAGAAACAATCCGTGGTCTCATAGGGAACATTCCCCAACGCTGTTAGGCATGCATACAAGCATGTGGGGCCGTGCAAACTACTGAGATTTTGCCAAAATGGACTAGCCCGCTGCATTATTTTTTCACTTTGATTTTCAGGGCGTCTTTGAATTCAACTCTCTGTAGGTTTATTCTGAACACATCACGCTGTCCATATCAGTACAGACATCCAGAATGCTGTTTGTCCCCATTAGATCTGAAGGGCTTTCAAAGCGTGCCTTTAATTTTTTTGAGCAGAGTATATATTTGATTTACTGTTCCTCAGAATTTGAAGTGTCTTTCCTCTTTCGTGCCATGTATCACTGAATAAATAAGGTTGGTTGTAGAGACATCTGTAAACAGGCAGATGTCCATAATGAAAACTGAAATTTGTTAAATGTAATGAAAAGTCTTATTGTGCATTCTTTTTCATTTTCCTTTGTGTTTGTCGCCTCACAGTCACCTTTCTATTGCCACTAATCTCTAACTGGAATTATTCAGTGGGGATTTTTAACTGGTTTCTCTGAGTCCTGCAGCCTGAGGGGTTTTCCTTGTGTCTCCTTCCAAGAAATGGTTTAGAGACACTGCTTGTCCTCTGAGAGCATTACTACAAAGCCTTCTATGCATTTTAAAAGAATTTTCTGTTCTGTTTTTTATTTGAACCAAGTGTGATGCATTGATCTTCTGATGCTGTGCTCACATCAGGTGCTTTGGGCCCAGCTGATCCAGCTGCGTACCTCCTTAGAATCCTTCAGTCCAGCTATGAGTTGACTCCGAGTCCCTTCTTTGTCAGAATAAAAACTGGACTTTAGACTGTTTCACCTCATCTCAACAGTTCAGGATACTTTGTAAAACTGCTACTATGGAAACGAGTTGCAGTTTTTTCTCAGAATACATAAACAGCTGTCACATCAGCCGCTTACAGTAAAGTTCCCAACAGAAGCTCCGCCTTTAAAGAGTCTCCTTTTTCATTTAGATTTTGTTTCGAAGAAACCAGTCATGGCCACAGTAGTGGTCCTTGACAAATAAAGAATAAAACTAAATCCCATTGTTGCTTAGTGCGGGAAGCTTGAGGCTAATTAAAATGAAAACCATCTGAGAATCATCTGAATGCTGGTATTAACATAACTGATGACATCTGCTTCAGTCTGATTGCTGACCTGGAAATAAAGCGGAATCCGAAATATTTCATCATTTCAGAAAATCTTGTGCTCCTGCCGCCTCTGACTTTCTGACTAGTCTTCAGCTTTGCATGAAAGGAGGACTGATGTCTGATATGGTCACAGAGTTTTGAACGTCACTGAGTGGAAGTGGCTAAAAAAAGTTACAAAGGTGCAGATGAATGTAAAATCCTTTCAGTTGGTGTTGGGATTTTGCTTCACCAGGAAATGTTGCCAGGAAATGTTGCAAGATGCTGACAGCTCTGTGCCTCCACCTACTGAGCCTGTAAACAGATGAAAGTCCGCGTGCTGCGCGTACATGTTTTCCTTTCCTACGATTCGTGTCTGTTAAAGAGGAACATGTTCTGTGCTATAACAGCTTGAAAAAAGCAATGAGAATACGAGCAGACAGCAACACTTGCGTTCTTTAATATTCTGTAATATTTTATGCACTACACTTGTCTATAATTGTAGCTTTTATTTAAATACATTTGAATATAAAGTAATCATGTTAATTTCAATTATATTATATATATATATATATATATATATATATATATATACCCCAGACAGCTGGGATAGGCTCCAGTGCCCCCCGCAACCCTGAAAAGGATAAGCAGAAGTGAATGGATGATGGATGGCGACGTATATTTTTATAGTCAAACTTCACGTTTTTTTATTCTTTAATTCTGTCACATTGGTTCTCAAACTGCAGCACGGGCCCCATAGTGGGGCACAGAACCACGAATGACATAATTTGTGGGAACCCCCCCCCCCCCAAAAAAAATTTGGGGGGGGGGGTTTAAAATGTTTTAAAAATGGGGATAAGATAAGATTTTTTTTTCTTCTGCAGTTGGGTCATGCCAGAAAAGGATTTTGAATCACTCCTTTTAGAAATGTTTAACATGCAGGGTGTTTCAGGGGAGTTTGGACGCCACCCAGTGATTTTAAGAACTGAAACAGGAAGTGAAACTATTTAAATGGCAGTGTTTGCTTTTAAAATACTTTTTAAAAATTGGTTTAAATTAGACTTTTTAGGCTTTGTCTTGGTATGGTGTACAGCAGAAACATGCTAAACACAAGCAGGACTGCGTTACTTAAAGGATGCATTATTTTATTGATCATCAGCGTCTCTTTTTTCTACTTTTGATCAAAAATCTGAATGTATGGATAAAGCTTATGATGCAGATGTGATGAAAGAAGAAAAGCAATAAAATAAAAATAAGTATATTAAAACACACACACACTAGATACCGATGGATACTGTAAACATCTTCACGTGTTTGATTATGGCATACATACATAATCAAACATTATACAGTTTGCTAAAAGGCAACAACAGACAAGAGATGATTTATTGGTAAACAGTCCACACGTCTTGAATATATCTTTAAATTCATAACTGCTGCTAATGTTTCTTGTGTATAGATTATAGAGATGCCAAAAAAAGAGTTTCCAGCTACCATTGTGTATCTACTAGTGTCTGAATTTAAATTATATTTAAAGTAAAAATATATAATTTTCTTGTAGAAACCACAATGAGATTTCCTGTTTGTTGGTTTGTTGGTTGGGTAGTGACTTAGTGAGAAAACAGTAATTTGCTGTTGCACCTCTCACTTCCAGTGTAAAGTGACGATAGGACTTGTCATCTGATTGCTACAAGACAGCACAGCGAAAACTTGAAATTTTACCCCCAGCTTCCGCTGCGTTTACAAGACAGGAAGTAGATTCATTCTGTTGAGTAAAGAGCATGGTGCTGGAAAGACGTGGAGGACACTTTTAAAGAGTGCTTTACATGTTATTAGGAAGCCCACACACTCCACCAGTGAGCCATGAGCAAACGGAAACTGAGTAAGTTATGTTTTTTTTCTGATGGGGAATTATTTGGAAAAGTATTTGTCATCTGTCGCCCTAAAGGATCCAGCAAAAGTAAATCAAATCCGTCAGTGAGAGAAACACCTGATGGTGGACTGAACTTTCTCTGATTTTAGGCTGATTTTAAAAACTGTTTAAAGTTTTATATTTTGGTGTAAAATACTAAAAAGAAAAGGTAGTGACAGCAGAATTCACACAAAGCATACACTGTAAAAAAAAAAAATCTTTGCTCTGAAATCCAGCAATATTTTTTTCTAAAGTTTAGATCGTCCAAAGGTCACAAGATAAAACTGGTTGGGCATGACATGAATTAAAGTTGTGCTTATGTTCTATAATGTTCTATAAAACTTCAGTTTCAGGATTGAAACAGTCATTTTCCAATATTTTTGTTGGATGACTTATCAGTCATCTTACAACACTGCAGATCCACTAACAAGGACGTTTAAATTTAGGTGAAAGGCGTAATCCTTCTAAGTAACAGTACAAAAGTTGTGGCATCAAACTAGCCTGTGTCTCTCTGCCGGGCACGCAGCTTTTTCTGAGAGAAATCTACAAATTTCATGTGACATGTTGTAAATAGATATTTGGGATCTTGATCATCCATCCGTCCATTCTCTTCCGCTTATCCTTATCAGGTTCATGGGAGGATGTCAGTTCAATTCAGTTCAACTTTATTTATATAACTCCAAATCACAACAACAGTTGCTTCAATGTGGTTTGTATGGTAAGATGAGGACCATATGATAAAACAGAGAAATACCCAGCAACATTATGAGCAAGACCTTTGGCGACAGTGGGAAGGAAAAACTCCCTTTTAACATGAAGAAACATCCAGCAGGACCAGGCTCAGGGAGGGGCGGGGCCATCTGCCGCTAACAGTTGGGGTGAGATGAGGAAGACAGGGCAAAAGACATGCTGTGGAAGAGAGTCAGAGATTAATAACAAGTAATAATTAAATGCAGAGAGGTCTATTAACACATAGTCAGTGAAAAAGAAATGCATTATGGGAATCCCCCAGCAGCCTAGAATTATTGCAGCATAACTAAGGGAGGATTCAGGGTCACCTGATCCAGCAGTAAACTGTACGCTTTAGCACAAAAGAAAGTCTGATCTTACAAGTAGAGATGTGTCTGTCTCCTGATTCCAAGCTGGGAGCTGGTTCTACAGAAGAGGCCTGAAAACTGAAGCCTCTCCCTCTCATTCTATTTTCAAATAGTAAGCCTGCAGTCTGAGAGCGAAGTGCTCTAATAGGGTGATATGGTACGATGAGGTTTTTGAGATAAAATGGAGCCTGACTATTCACAATCTTGCATGTGAGGAGCAGGATTTTAACTTCAATTCTGGATTGATGAGAATACATGAGAAATATGCTCTCTTTCTAGTCCCTGTCAGAACTCTGGCTGCAGCATTCTGGAGCAACTTTGAGGGTTTTTAGGACATCCTGATAATAATTACAGCAGTCCAGCTTAGAAGTAGGAAGTAAGCCTAATAAGGCATTTGAAGACATTAATTTTTAAAAACGTTTTACACACAGGTGATAAATTACCATTAAATGTTCTAAACTGTGTTGTAGAAAAGTCCAGTGACTGTGTATCTGCAATGGAAGCTGCAGAAACTGGACAGCAGATATAAAACCACTCTCCATGTTTAATTTGTGTGTGACGGCTGTTTTTCACTAAATGCAATCGGGTGAGAATTTGTGTATTAAAGTAGTTATCAGTGTTGTTTTTGCAAAGCAGATCTTGATCTCAGTCAGACTTCCTGACACAAAAATATTTTTACTGCTGCCTTGCCACTTCTGCTTACTCTTATCACTGCGGCTGGCGCTGCACATTTTACTGTAATTGATAGTTCAAACACCTCCCCCTCTGCTGTGGTCTTCTGTTTATTCTTTTAGCTACAGTAAATTCTGTTGCTGTCTTTAATAGTTCTGCCATTTTTGATGTTCACTTGTGTTCAGTTCACTTTCTTTGCTTTTTTGTCTGTCGCTTGCAAACCTTTTTCATATGTTTGACTGTTGGTAAATTGCTGTTGCCATCTTATTTTTCCAAAACCCGACGTAACTGTTACATGCAAAGGTAAAGCTGTCAGCTGAAGCTCACTGGCCTGATTGGCAAGCTGCTTCCATAGAAAGGATATTTGCACTGGCAACAGATAACTAGTGAGGACAGATTGGACTTCACAGCAAGCCTCAGTGCTGAAGAGGGATTCATCATTTATTAGACAACTACAGGCTGCAGCTGTGTTCACGCCCCTGATTAAGGAAACTTTAAACAGCTCACTTATATTAAAACTCCAACTGCAACTTGCAGACTTCTGAAATATGCTTTATAATAAAAGCCAAAAGAATTTGAAACAATTTATTAAATTTGCAACCAGATATTGTTTATTGTATGTTTTCAAATTATGTTTTTAATCTGATTGGAATATCAGAGCAGCCAAATGACAAAAGCAGCGTCTTAAATTTGGTTTTGAGTCTGGTCTCTTAAAGACAACCTGCGCGCTGTCCTAGCAGACTCAGACTGACACAGTCACTCTCTGACTGACTTTCTAATAACTACCTTTTTATTTGTAAATGCAAACAGATTGCCTACGCATGGCAGTCAATCTTACTCAGCACCCAGTTTGCGTCTTTGCAGTCGGAGGTTCTCCTTTTATTCAGCTGGTTGTATTCATGTTATATTCCCAGATCTTTGAGCTTCTGGCTGGATTATGAAAGTAGGTTTCTGTGTATGTGGATGGCAACAGATATGTGATCTTCACTGATTTATCATACTTACTTGCCACATTTTCACAAAGTGATTTCATGCAATTGCTAACTTTCAATCTAAAAAATAAGAGCAGACTAACTCAGTTTTGATGCACCAAAGTGAGACTGAAGTGAGTGATTGCAGTCCTTCGAAGCAACCATTTCAAAAGCGAGTAGGGAACTTGTTCATTGCACAAAGTTACAGTAATTTTAGTCAGACCGCCGTCTTCCACCACAGTTTTTCTTGGTGTGACTTTAGCGTAACACACGACAAGAAATGTAACAAGAAATGTTACTTTGAACCAACTTTAATAATTACCCTATTTTGTTACAGCTAAGTTTATTAGTTGTACTCAGACTGTAATTTAATATAAACCTTTTACTTGAAGTACAGATTCTCACATTTGACAAATTGTTTGTGTTGATTATTTTCATGGTAAGTTATTTTTAATTTTAGGTACAGTGAAATAAACAGTGTTAACCCAGAAATCCCAATTTTCTGTTGCTACAGTGGAGTGCAATGCAACACTTTTTCAGTGTAGAAGCATTTTTAAAATTAAGCAATCTCTAGTGGTTATATGTAAAAGCATATAAATAAAATGAGCTCAGGTGGCCACTTTTAGATCGGGCACAATCCTTACTTACCGTCTCTAAGTCTGCTGGAGACAAAATGAAAACCATCCATTATCTGAACTGAATCGGAACTCATTCATACCTTAGATTATTTCAGAATCACCATTCAACACAACATGTCTTTGGGCTGCGGCAGGAAGCTGGAGCATCAGGAGAGAACACATGACACTAAAGAAGTGCCCTGAAACAGGAACCTCTTCCTGTGATGCGACATTGCGACCCACACCATGAAATGATAAAATACATATTGTTTAACATCTGTTGATATCAATCACAAATATACTGAGCATTAAAAATCCCCCCAAAACCTTAGTGTAACTTATCACAGGTTACATTTATAAATATTATAATATGGAACTGTAAGCGGAGGAAGTAATCTAAAGCAAATATATTTGAAAATGTCTTGTATGTATGGTACATAAGACATGAATAATAATACTATATATTAACTCTTAGTAGAGCTGAAGTAGAAAAGTAGTAGTAGAAGCACAGAGACAGTGGTATTAGACGAGTCTGGTAAAAGAGGCTGATGTAAGTTTGTTTGTGCAAGCCCATAAATGAATGTGCTCTATTGGCGCTCGTTCCAGCGTGTCCGCTGTTGCTTTGTCCACTGTTCCACTTACAAACATCTTTTTGCTCCATTGTTAACGAAGCATAGACGTGCCTTTGTGCTGTTTGAAGGGACAGCGGCCCGGCTGAGCGCACAGAGCTGAGCTAAGAAAAGACAGTGAATTCCTGCTGACAGGACAACAGGCCTCTGTGCATCTCTTCTTCTGCTGCTTGACTTGGTAGCTGTCTTATAAAAACTGATTTCTTTGAGGCAGCCTGAGGACATTTATTCACTCTGTGAAAACAAATCAGCTTCAGGCTTCGGGACAACAAAAACCTCCAATGGAGCTCAGTTGAGTAGTTTTAAAAAGTTCAAATTTTAGAGTCACGTTGTTGCTTTAAGTGTCACGTTGTCCTTTGACATTTACAGAAATAGCCAAGGATCATAAATGCTGAAGTGAATCTGTTTGCTGCAGAAAAACATTAATTTTGGCACATCGTGGCATTATTTTCCTTAACAGAAATTGGCAAAGGACGTAGCTGCAAATTCTGTAAAATCTGCTTGTCTGCTGTTATAATTTGGCACTATATACATAAATCTGATTAGAGTGAACAGTAGATCATTTTTCCTCAGTTCCTCAAAGTAATTGTATCTCAAAGAAAGCGAAACCATTTTAAAAACAGAATGAACTCAACGCCTAACAAGTTCTTTGGGATTTTTGAATGTTTCTACAACCAAGTGAATACAGTTGCTACCAAAATAAAACAGGAAGTGCATGTCAGTCCAGGTAGCAGGCACGCACAGTCGGGCCTGGTCTGGGCTACTTTTGGTACATACGGTTCAGTTATGGCTCCATCAGGTGCTCTGTGGGCATAAAGCAGGTCAGGCATGGGTTATAGAAAGTACTATGTGGGCCAGATGTGCCCCAGATGTCACAACTGATCTGACCTCTGGCTCAAGGTTCAGTGTGGTTCATAGAAAACCACAGATGTGGGCCATATCTAGGACAAATGTTCACTTCTCTCTGAGATGAGACAGCACTAAAAAACACAGAGAAGGGGATGAATTAAGTAAAAACAGGAAGCAAAACTGACCATAAACTTAACAAAACTCAACAGCATATAAGGAATAAATGACACAAAGGGAAATGCCCATATCTGTTTATTGGAAAGAAAGGAGGTTTTTAAGTTGATTGTTTAGTACTACAGTGTTTAACTTAACTCCACTGAGTGGGATTTACTCTAAAATATGACAGGCAATAAACATTTTCTCATTTTTATGGTCATGGAAATCGATTAAGAACAATGTGGAAGTGACACATGCTGGCTCAAGTGTAAAAGATAACATCCACCCTCCATCAACCCCATCTTTGTATCTCTCTCCAAATCATGAGTCCATGTTTAGCTGCTCAATTAAATACACAACAGTCAGTGCCTCCAGAGTCTAATTGGTCCTTTGGGAAAACACTTGAACACTGGTGAAAGTTCGGGAGCTTCACCTCATAAGAGAGAAACAAGGGTACGATGACATTCCTCAAATGCCTCCAACGCAAAGAAAACATGTTGGTTTGCAGCTGTAGGTCTAAATAGGGACATAATGGCTCTGCACTGATGCTAATGTGTGTTTAAAATGTGCATGTTCATGTTACTAAGGGGCTAACCCAAATTAAAAAGATGACCCTGTGCAGGGATCAGCCAGTGCATCACTGCAAAACGAGCCAGATTAAAATCATTTTGTCGCGTTTAATCTTGATGAATTTGGGGTTTTTCAGTTTTTAACACACACGTTGTGTTTTCCTGTTTTTCTATTTTTTAAAAGATAAAAGATGACAAAGAAATTGATTGAACTCACTCAGCAAGCAAAAAAGTTGAGAAACTCTCTGACTAAAGATCTAAAGTCAGAAATATAAAGACGTCATGAACTAAAAAAACAATTTAAAAAAAACTGCATGTTTATGTTTCTAAAACAATTCTGATAAACAAGCTTGAAATCACAGACTGTATACAAAAGATGGAGGCTACCATGATGTCCTTTCTTTTTTGAGCTCTTATTTTGAAGATAATTTTAAACACAGTCTCACAGTATTTTAAAAGGATTCCAGGAATAATCTGACTAACAATGTTGCCTGGTATGAGTTACGGTATGAGTCATCTAAAGATTTTACTGAGTAAACGTCTATTAGCAAGTAACAAATCTGTAAAAAATAAAACAAACATGTGGGTATATAAAGTCTGTGGTTCTGACACAAGCCTATCACTGTTCCTAAAAAGGTGTTGTTTACTTTATATATATATGGTTAGGTTTATATATAGTTTATATATATGGTTTAGGCCCTATAAAGGCACTACTAATTACTCGGTTTCTGTGGTTTGGTTCAAAATATGAGGTTACAGGTCGACTATTGCATTTGAATGTGATGCCAAGAGCTTGTTGCTATTGCAATTTGTGACAAGCTGTGAGTGAGAATGAGCCCTGCTGCACAAAACCTTTGGACAGAAATGTGAGACAGCAGCAGCTTTGAGAAAACATCTGTATACGACACAACAGGGAGGTAACAGCTGGCATTTTAGGTCACTGCCAGGTGTTTCTTTCTTCTTCTTCTTCTTTTTTTTTTTTAATAAAACCAGACCTCATACAGGGATCTGACCAGGAAGCCAAAATCACAGTACACTCTATACTCTGCTTACCCATCTATTTCACTCTAAATGGGACTAACATTTACAAAATGAACATCACATTTTATTAAGCAGGTCTGTCACTCTGTGTTAGCCCTACGTCAGATTGGTGACCTGTCCAGGGTGTATACTGTGTCTCGCCCTATGATAGCTGGGATAGGCTCCAGTCTCCCTGCGTCCCTGATAAGGACAAACGGAAGAGAATATGTGCATGGAGGACTTTAAACGGGCAATTAAGACCATAAAGTCACCAGCAAAGTGTATACTGATGTCATAGATTAAATCAGAAGAGGCTAATTTTCTCATAGTCTTCTATACATTCAGACATCTTTAAGCAACCAAAGGAGTCGCCCCCTGTTGGCCATTTGAAAGACTGAAAGCACTTAGGCATTGGCTTCTGTGTTCTCCATCTGCGTAATTTAAAAATGCTTTTATTAATGTTTTTGCACTTAAAAAAAAAAATTAAACTCCTTTTTAACTAACTCTTCTTCTCCAGATTTAAAACTGTTCGGGAGCCTCTCCAATCTCTCCTTCCGCCGCTCAACAGGGAAGAAGAGCACCAAAGCGTCCCTGGAGTATGATGGGAGCTTTTCCGGGGACAAATCTGCAGGGATGGGCAACCAGTCGGTGGACGACATGGAGTCCTGCCTCCACAGCCCCACCTACGCCCGCTCCTGTGAGATGTACACACATGTGGGGACTGTGCCTCGCAATGACAAGCAGAAGAAGAGCTTAAAGGAGAAGAAGACCAAGACAGAGGAGGAGGAGAAAGGGATGAGTGAGAGGCAGGGCAATTTGAAGGCGGGAGAGCATGTCCGGGACTCGCCCCTGCTTGGTGCTCTGACAAGCCTTAGTGTGAACAATATGGAAAAGCCTCAGCCTGCTTCTACGTTGGCCCGGTCACTGCCAGTGACACCGACATCCAGCCGGACTTCACCTTTGACCTCAGAATCTGACAGCTGTGATCCTGCTGTGGAATCTTTAACCAGCAGTGAGGCATTAAAGAGCAAGAATGATTTAGAAACAGCCAGAGAGCCTTCAGTTAAGAGCCACAAGGCTGCTTCGAACCAGGATCTGTATGTGCCGATGGATCCTATAGCTGAAACAGCCCACAGCCACCTGGACCCCCAAACAGAGAGACTGCGAGGCGTCACACGTACACAGGAAACCACCACAACCATGAAAAGCTCACAGGAAGTGGAGTATGCTGACAAGTGAGATGTTTATTTATTTTTCTCTCAGAAGATGCAGGTCAGAAATACACAGCCTGATTGTTATTCAGGCAGTCAATTCATATCAGTAGAAAAACGTTTTTAGTTAGAAACATAAGAAAAACAGACTGAAAATTCACAAAAGTGTCTTTGTGAGACTTAAACTATTAGTAGAAAATAGTAATAATCACGAGAGATTGAAAAAAGGTCATGTTTCATGACCTCCTGGCACCCAGCTGCTTGTTAGTGGAAATTAATTTAATATTGAGTTCACCTGAAATAAATCAGTCACTTAATCGATCACTGATCTATTAAAGTATCTGTTTAAAAAGAAAAAAGATATAAATCTTAAAAATAGAGCATAAAAATTAAATCAACTTAAATTAAATTAAAAAATAATATAAAATGCACAACACTCTATAAGCTCGAGTCACTGAATCAAATAATGCTGGATGAAAATATTTAAAATGAATAGATCTAAAATGTAAATATAATGAAATAATAGAAAATATTGTCTGTAACAGAAGAGACAATGAAAGTAACTCTGTGGTAAAATAATAACTAATTAATTATCGAAAAGAAAGTAAGTAACATTATGACACTCTCTAAAAAATAAAACTCTCAAATATTCAACACGTGAAGATTAAAATGCACTGTGAAAGTGGCTGTCGCTGCGGACATGCGCAGTAGCTCCGCTCCCACTCACCGCGGCTATCAGTCAGCTGGGCGAAGCCGTGAGGACTAACCTCGGGACAAGATGTGTGAAGTTGGGGACTTAAAGTTAAGCGCGGTGAGGAGGGAAAGGTGAGAAAACCGCTTCCGCTATTAACTCTTTACCCACTGATGACACGGAGCCAGGCTGTGAGATCAGGGTTTGTGTTTCTTGAATAAGAACACACACAGTTAGTTTTTTCTGAAACAGTGAGACAGTCAGAGAAAACTATCTGTCGCGATCATCTGTTAATCTGCTTCGGGGAACAGTCTCAGCTCCGAGGCTTTGATATTTTTATCCCTTCGGTCGCTTTTTTTCGTTTGAAGTATATTTGTAAAGGCGGAAATAGAGGCGTGTTTTTGGTTAGTTTGGTGCCATAAAACCTGAAACGAGGATCAGTAAAACATTTACTGGCTACAAGTCGACTTTGAAGTGAGTCGGCTTGCTGGCTCTGGACCGGTCTGTTAGTTACATAAGCGGAGGAATTTGATCCTGCGCTGCTTCACTCTGAAGAGTGATAAGACTTCTTTGGCAGAGATGCAGCAGCAGGTTTAACTTCGTCTCTTTTCCACCTGACTTGTATGTCCCGCTGCATGCTGTCACAGTTTTGCGACCTTGTGTCAGTCGCTTAGTGCTGGCTTCAAGGAAAAGCATCCCACCTCCTGCTGCTTTAATCCAAATTATAAAAGAAATGAATGATTCTTGTACAAATAAAAGGCTATGAAAATACTTAAATGTTATGGCCCTGCAGGTAAAAGTCTATCTTAATCAAGCTGAAGTAAATGATTATGTCTTCCCAAATTGAACTTTTTGGTATTTTTCTTTTTTCAGTATATATTGTCCTGTTATTCCTGTTAACATTATGCTGTAATTAAGAATTTAGTTTGTAAAACTGTGAAAAAAAATCATCAGAATTTGACTCTAAGTTAGTTTTCGTTTGCAAAGATCTGTTTCAAGCTTCTAAATGTCACCAAACATTTGAGTAAAACAGCGAAGTGACGGTGTGATTCATGTAGATGTAATTATATCTGATACCAGTGCATTACTGGAAAAATAAAGCTCAGAGGTGCCAAAATTTTACAAAGTCAGAATCACAAAAATGTTCAAAATATTGAACAAAATATTGATACGTCCAGAATCTCAACTTAATATACAGTTCATCGGACAGCTGTAATAACAGGCCTGCTAATTATCACCAGCCTGATCATTTGATTTGAACTCGCTTAACCTGCTAGAGAGTTCAAGAGGTTGATAAAGGCCAACAAGAGTGAAAGTAAAAGGAAATGTGTCTGTACCTATAAAAAAGAACGTCTGAAATGACGAGAATGATGAATATTTGGTTGTTTTACTTAAAAAATCGGCTTATGTTGTTTCATTATGAAGTCTTATTGTTAGCATTTTGGCTCCTGTCATTTTATGTATTTATGTTTTGGAGACAGAAATAACCATATCTGAAGGAAAAGGTGTTTGTCTTCATTCATAGACTGTACGTGTGCATCACACAGAAGACAGGTACCTATCAACTAGTGCTAAGAATATCAGTCACCAGCACTGGCGCTAACACATCTCGGATGTTTTGTAGCAGACAGAAAGTCGTATTATTGGTCAGATAATTCTATTAAAAACTCTCCAAAAAGCACAAACAACACAGACACAGTGAGTCATGTTCAAGAAGTCCAGTTAGGGCTGACGAACACCCGTTCTTTCAAACTCGAAGCTTTAGGAGAAAGAAGATCTCCCAACCAAAAATCCTCAGTATCTGTTAAAAAAAACTAACATTAAACGGCTTTAAGACTCACATCAGCATCGAAGGAAAGCTTTTAGTTTGATTATCGACTTTCAGTAGCAGAATAAGAGGAAATGGTGTCCTGTAGCTGTCAGGGGAAAAGTCTCAGAGTGGAATTGTGGATAAACAGAGACGACTCGTCCAGCCTCCCATTAACAGTGTGTTTCTTTTAACTACTGGTGCAGTGCCTGTTCCGGGTAAGTGTAGCCCCAACTTAAAGATTTTCCCTGACTGTGCAGTTAATTGGAAGTTGCTGGTTTGAAAAGACGACCGCTGTATGGTCACACTTGTTGAATGTGTGTGTAGTGAAAACATAACTGGATGACTTAAGCTGTTTGTCACAGGAAACCAAAGACTAACATTTTTTTAAATGCCTGTTTGTCTTTTTGAGAACCAGTCTGAATTTTGTTATTCCACATTTCAACCCTGCACCCTGGGACAGTACAAAGCCTTAAGATGTAGACAATGGTCTTCAAACCTCAGTGTGGGACCAAAACACCGCCATGTCGGACACTTTTAGATGTGGTATCGCTAAACTAAGTGACGTGCGTTCATGTGGATGAATGCCCTCACAAAGATATTTAAACAAACATGGCTGTGTTGGTGTGTGGGCCCCGTCCCTGCAGATAGAGTAGAGCCACAGTCACAGTAGTGGACTCACTGGGAACAGGAAAACGATGGGAACTCTTCATCCAAATGACCAGAAACCCATCAAGTTTGAGGCATATCCCGCGAACGATCGATGAGACAGGCGAATTGGAGATTTCTCAAATTATTAGTAAGTAGTAGTAAGAGTAGTTTTACCCGCAGCGCAGCCGCAGAGGTGTCACATCAGCTTTCAGCTGTTCACAGTTTCGGAGGAATTGCACTGCCCGAACTCAGCACGTTCTGAATTCTCACCTTATTGCAATAAAGGAGGTAATTCAAGTTTAAGAAGCCATCAGAGCAGAAGTGGTCACTGAGGCTGAACTTGACCTGCTTTTAAAAAGTCATCCAGGCTTGGTGACTTTCTTTTTCCACTCTGTGTTTGTTGCAGTCAGCCTCAGCTCTTTGCAACTAATGTCGTTATTAGGGAAGCGTTAAACCACAGGCAGAGTCTCTCTGACTGTGTTGCTGTTGCTTGATGGCGTAACAGCTGCTGGCAGTCGGAGCAGGAACTGCTGTAAAATTTGGTGCTGGTTTGAGGAGTGCAGCCCTGAAGTGGAGGGAGTTTCCCCTCATGGATAAGGCCACTGCAAACAGTCTTATAACTTAACAGTGAACAGACTTTAACTGTGGTTCGGTCCAAGTGTGAAGAAAAAATGTGAGCAGAAGAATATTGACCATTTGTGACAGTATCCTGTCCACGTATAAGTGGACGTTGACCACTGGTTATAAGCTTATTCTTAGATATAGCTGCAGGTCTCCAGTTTGTCGCCTTTAAATAGAGATAAAAACATCTATCATTATATCTCACATCAGGTGACCTGAGCCGTCTCCTTACAAAGACCTCAGGGTTGAGGGCGCTTCTCTTTTATCCTCTGGGTTGTTTGAAAAGTAGTGAAAAATTTAAACACAATCACCGGGCAACCACCAGCTTTTTTCCTGTTCTCAAGGAGGTTCACATCCTATTTTTACAGAATTCGTCATTAATAAGTAATAAGCTACATTCCTCATTGCAAGGAAATGACTGAGTCATTATGTGTTTTGAATGGAAAAAGCAGCTTAACTTTTTTATAAATAATTACATGAATATAACAAATATATAATATAATACAATATAAATGTTCTGAACCTGCATTTATTGGTTAAGTAATAAGCTACAGTCAATTACAAGATAGATAAAAAGAAAAAATGTAAAAAAAAATATTTGCATTTGCACTTTCAGTATTTACTGCTATCACTGTGGTCGTTTGCTGTCACCCGATATCTGATCCACATCGGACGACTGTATCCATACTCGCTTTTGAACCATTTGGAACATCTAGAAGAGGCTTTCATTTATTTTATTTTATCCTGTGAGGGAGAGGTGCTCTCTGTTTTTATTTGCTCCAAGGATCTCAGAATTGGAACATCCTGATACTTGGAAACTTGGAGTTTTTCAGTCCTGAGTTTGAAAAAGCAGGTATGGAGCAGCTTTTACTGGAATGAATGGGGCGCCGTGTTGTAACCTGGGAGTTTTGTCTTCGTCTGACTTCCTGTTTATTATATTGTCCTCAATAATGCCATAAAAATACCCTCCTCCTCCTTCCTAGCCCTAAAGGGTTTAATCTAATAATTAAAACAGCCAGTGAGCGTCGGCATCATTCCCAAACAGCACAAGCAGTATATCAGGGCTTAAAATCATCTGCGTGGGGTTTAGTTTTTGAATGCCAGCGCGTTTCTCATGCTGTATGTCCACATCTGTGAGTGTGTGCTGCCTGTTCTCAGAGTTTGTATTTGGGAACAAAAGGTCACCTCCCTTGACTCTTGGAAGTATGCAGCCAGTTGAGGAAGAGCAGAGAGTTTCACCCTGCCAGTGTGCTGTGTTTCTGCACTGACATAATGCATCAGAGCTGTCAGAAAGAAACAAAGCTTTTGCTTTTTGGGAGTTTTTTTTGTTTAAAGCATCATTTGAAAAGTGTCAGTGGTCCTCTGGGTGCTGAGTTTAGTTTTGTGAGCCCCACAGGCCTCAGATTTGGTGAGGATCCAGCTGTTGTGTGGATGGACATCATGGAGAAAAAATGTTTCTTTTGCTTCAGTCTTGAAAAACAGACGGTTTGCAGATACAAGCGGGAATATTCCCGACCCTCCCTGGAGGAGTTTGTTGGGTTGCATGTTGTTGCTGGGCGGTGTCGAATGAACTCACTGCTGCTGTCAGAGAGTTTCGCAAGAGGGCCGATGGACAGCAGACAGCATAAAGCATGTACAACTTCTGCTGCTGCTACCAGAACTAACTGATAATACTGCTACTCACTTATCAAGATATGGGATTTTTTTAAAAATCAAGTAAATTATGATGACAAACAATAAGGAAAAAAAAAAAAAGAAAAAAAAAGGAAAACGTGCTGTTTGAAAACAGGGCTGTTGGATTTCCAGCCTTTAATCAAGGCTGAACAATAAAAGACAAAAGCTGAATGTGACCGTGATGACAGTTGTTTGCTGTTTTATCTGATACCATAGAGTTGCTATGTCAATGACCACGACTCTGCAACAGTTTAAACTCTAATCTTACATGAGTGCGACAGGAAATATGTCACAGTAGATGAAAATTACAAAACACGTTGAATGTTTGTTGAAAGTTGCATAAAATGTGGTTTCTGGAAACAGCAGGCGCTGTAGACCCCCTGGCTACATTTAGTAGTTACCTGACTCAGACAAACTGAATCCTGTGGAGCTTCAGTGGATGATGTAGCAGTGTCAGCTATTTCACCACCTTGCAGACTCTACTTTGATTCTGACGCGTCGCAGAAGCGACCCTCTTCTCGGCAACTCTAAAAATAGTGCCAGCTGTAGCTGCACAGAGCAGATGGGGGGTTAGGACGACATGGTATGGTGTAAACATGACATGCAAACACTCAGCTCCGGTGTTTTAACTGACTCCCAGCTATAGACTGTATAAAAGTTGGACATAAATATTGTGGCGTCTGATACTGGTTAGTAAAACACCGTCATGAAGCTTTGAGCTCAGCGGCCTCTTGGTAGTTTGAAACCAGACATGACAGGCGGAGGTGGGCGGGGGGAGAGGTCTGACTGAACCACCTCACAGTTGCTAGTTAACAACTTCTCAATTACAAGTCATTGGCAGCTGATGAAGCGGCGGGCGATTCTCTCTCCTCTAACAAGGCTCCCTGAGAAACACGAGAGCTATACTGAAACTTTGATGTTTTATGATTTTTTTTTTTATAACATGCTGACGTCAGCCATTTTTTTTTTTATTACAATATGATCAAGGGCAAATGCTTACCCTACCTAGGTACTCGTGACCCCCAAGGCCTAGCTTACTGTTGTGAAGTTTGAAGACGATCCATAAAAACTTTCTGGGTAATATAAAGTTTTTAATGATTGTCACATTTGCTGTGATCTTTTTCACCTAAATTAAATCAGCGCTAGATGCTGTTGAAAACACAAAGTCTGAGAATCATATATTAAAAACGCTAGACTGCTAACAGACAGACAGACCGATTACATACTTGATTACAATATGAGCTTAAAGTAGCAACTGAGACCAAAAACTATTTAAAATTGTGTTTAGTGAGGTCATACAGCAATGAGCTGAGTGCTGTTTCACATAGACTTCTATACAATGTCTTTGTCCCCCTGGTGGTCATTAAAAAGAATACACATTTAGGGCACTACCACTTTGGCTTCACTTTTCCGACACAGAAACTAGTCATTGGTCCCAGATTCTTCCTGCTTGGATCTTTATTGTATGTTTTCTTTTCCCATAGCTGCTCTGTTGATCTCTACTGAGCAATTCATGAACAAAGAAAAAAACAACTTAATTTATTCAGAGCAGCGATCATTCATGAAAACACAGTGCTTGTATCGCATCCAATAAGTAACAAAAAATTAAAAGTAGAAGAAAAATAAATAAACAAATACTAACCTGACCAATACAGGATTTTAAAGACTGATACCGATATTTGGTGATTTTGTTTTTTTCTAGCAGACAGATGAAACAAACACATTTTTCTAAAATGTGTTAATCGTAGTTATTTATTTATTTACTTGATTGTCATCTGCTAAACTCTGCTCAGATCACCTGGAGCTTATTTGTGGCATGTTGAAGAGAGAGAACCCTCTTCTATAATTTGCTTAGTTCAATATTTATTTTGCCCTGTCATTAATACCTCATTAGACTCTTTTTTTTTAAAAGACATTTTCCTGTGAATTATTAGCTGATAGGTAATTGGGGACTCTTACAAGAAAAAGTTCAAATTAATATTCTTAATAAATCAAACTTGTTTCCTTTGTTTTTTAGGCATCAGGACATGACAGATGGTGGAGGAGAATATGTGAAAGTAAGCTTACCTTTTTGTGCGACTTTAAAGTACATTTGACTCTCATTTTGATTCAGCTTCCGTTTGCTTTCTCACTTCCTGTGGTCAAGCCTTTTTCCAGCTGTATATGGACCTCTCAGCAAACCTCTGTGATTCCCTACACTCAGCTCTGTGGCTCTAATTCAATCAGGACAGTGACAGAAAAGCCTCGGGGAATGCAGCCCCTCTGCGGTGACATACTTTTGAGCTGACTTGGTTACCGCTGGCAATGGTGGCGTCTCGGTCGGCGGCCTTGTTTAGGAAAGGTGGAAAGAGCCTCGGAGAGCAAGATGATTTCCACTCCATTGACTTATAATTAGATACTTGACAAACACACTTGTCTAAATGTTACAAGCTGCCAGTGAATGATAATGCTAATGAAATTAGAGCTGGAGGCTTCCAGGTCTTTACCTCACAACACACACACCATCTTATTTTGTTTTGAAGTGGTCCTGGCCCCGTTCCCAGTCTTTGATTCCCAGTTCAACGGGGCAAACCATTCTGTCAAAGAAGAAGGGGGTGGGAGGTTTCAGGGACCAGAAAAACAACATGTCACCTATAAAGCTGAGGAATGTGTTTGTGTGTGTGTCCACACTCCCAGTATTCCCAGCTTGTCCTTAACATAAATTTTTGTATACAGTAGCTTCTTCTTCTTCTTTTTTTTTTGCATAAAGACACGACAGACAAAGGCCGCTGAGCGATGACCCCCATCTAACAATGACGTTGCCACAGTGACAAGGCCAAAACTCCAGCATGGGTCTGGGTTTTGGGCCTCTGGTGCCGCCACTGTGGATGCCAGTGTGGGAATGCCAGAGCTGTCAATCCTCCCTCTCTCTATTCCCCCTCCCTCATCCCACTCTGTCCTCTGTTAACAGACATTCACACAAAAACAGCAGAGAAGGCTGCAGATTGGCTACATGCTTGTATTTTAGCCATTTCTTTAAAAAGCCAATCTGGTTTACATTTTTTTTCAGGAAGGAAAAACGCAGAAGATAAAAGACTCTGCTGGGATTTGACCTTTAGCCAGCAGAGGTCACACAATGGCTTAAACTCATGTTGTTGCCTTCCTGTGTTCGTACATGGGGAGGTTGTTTCTCAACGTGCGCCTGTCATGTCTTTTAAGTTCTCCAAGGAGAAGTTCTGGTTGGAGGCGCCGTCTGAGAAACTGAGGAAGCAGCTGGAGGAAGAGCTGAGGCTGAGTGGCACAAACCTGAAGAGCCACGCTTGGTACCACGGATGCATCCCCTGGCAGGTCTGCCTCTGACATACGCACATCCAAATACACACTTTTTTTTTTTTTGCAGCTGTTGCATGAAAATTTCATAATTTTTTAAAAACGCTTCTCATTACTTGTGTCATTTAGGGTTACACAAAAAGGATATGAATAAAGGATGTTTTTAGCTTTCATGCATTAAGGTCAGACAATGTTGAGAGAATCAGTTCTGGACTTTATGCACTGTTACATATGCAGCACTCAGCAGGAAATAGTGTGTTTCAGTCCTGAACATACTGGCTGTTCAATGTTTAGGCATCGAGGGGTACTCAGTTGTTACGAGACAATTACACAGCGTCACTTGCATGGAACTGGGCATCCCACGGGCCAGACTCTAATGGACTGTTTAATTTTGACCAAGCATTTCCAGGGCTGCAAAAAGAAACCAACACTGAAGTGACAAAAACATGCAGTTCCTCTAATGGCCACTTGAGGCTGACGCCCATGTCAAAGTATACCCAGCAAACAGACATGTTTACAGCCTTGTTCAAAAAACACTATTGAGCTCTCTTATCCACTGTATGGATTTTATTAATCTTAAGGGTATGACTGTTTTGATTGACAGGTGAGTCAACAGGTAGACCCAACAGCTACCTGCTAGGCCTGACCTCCATTAAATTGACTCACCGAACTAGACCTCTCAACCATGTTTGGTATCTTGCGGAGCACTTTTAATGATGTTATCTGGCAAATAATATGGCTTGCTTTGTAGTAAATACTTTCCATGAATTTGGTTGTAGGTAGCATTAGCTAGTAAGTTTAAATATGTATGAATATTCCAGCTCTAAGAAACTAAGAAATGTGGTATTGACCAAAGACGAAGCTTCAAAATGCAGAGGCTTAAATCAGTGGGTGATCTCACAATGGCTACGTCTATTTATAGTCCAATTGCCCAACTGTGGTTCTGACGGCTACGTCAGGTAATATCTGGAAAAGTACATGTGGGGGAGAAAAAAAACAGTTCCCAGCATCTGCCCTGCAAGCAAGCAAGCACGTGTTTTCACCACAAACCAGCTGTGAACATTACGTAACAAAAATGGCTTTAGTTTCTTAGTTACTGATCGACGTCACTACAGACTAGAGCGTGGGATAGTAATCGATTAGAAATGCAGCAATGAAACAAAAACAAGAGAGTGGAAATAGTGGGCGGTGGTGGTTAAGTGGGTGTGAGGATGGTAGTGAATGGGGGAGGGGGGGTATGCTCTCAAAGGTTGGTTTAATTTTAGTTTCTTTACTTTTCCTTTCACTTTTTTAAAACATTGGACTCCAGCGACTTCATCACCAAAGTTGCGAGGCTTGTGATGAAGCAACTGGAGCTAAAGAAAATTAGTATACTTAACCAATCAGGGAAACCTTCAGGAGTACTACACATCTCCTGACCCAGAGTGTAAGTGAGCGTGAACCAAAGAGTCAAAGTTTGTTTTTCAACATGTAACAAAAGTCTTGTAGGAGTGTGCATTTCCATACTTGTTCATACAGTCGAGCCCACTAACGGAAAAATATTTTTCCTGTGATGTGCTCTGTGGGCTGTTTCTTCACCGAATCGGTTGTTGGTTTTGTCAGATATTTGTCTAGGCTGTGAAAGGAAAGGACTTTTAGGTGTTCTCCTTATTAGGACAGGGATTGTTTTGTGCAGATATGTGTGAATATGAAAGGTTTAGTGTTAGATTGTTAATCGGAATCTACACAGGTGATACTGAGTAACAAAAAAGTAACATAAAGAGTAATGTAACAAAGTAGTTCTACAGAGAATAAAGAAGAAAACTAAAACATAAAATGAAGTTTAAAAAATATGCAATGCACCTATCAAAAAGTCAGATGTATCCAACATCCTATGATGGAAGGACAAGCTGATAGGCTGATGTGGGAATGAAGGCTACCTGAAGGGAAAAGGTTGTTGTTTCAGGGGAAAAGCTCATGCTGGTTAAAAAGCATCTTCAATCTAAGAGACTAATGAGCTCACTGAAGCATGGATAACTATATCACCATTAGAACACCTTTTCTTTTGCATCTTTTCTTTTTCTGTCAGATTTGCTGCATTGCTTCCTGATAAAACAGAGAGTATCTTTGGGTTTTAAAAAACATATTATTAAAGCAAGCTTGTTTTAAAGAAATGCATTTGCCCCATCCAGCTAGAACTGGATTCAGAGCAGAACTGAACAATCAGAACCTGTAGAAATAACTTCCATCAGTTTTCTTAATTGCTTATCCAGTTGAGAGTCAATGGAGCCTGTCCCAGCAGACAGAGGGTGAAAGGTGGAGTACACTCTGGACAGTTTGCCGGTTTATCGCAGTGCTAACAGAGAGACAGAAAACATTCAGATTCGCAAAACCCAGAGAGAACCCATACAGTCACAGGGAGAACCTGCAAACCCCACACAGCAAAGCCCAGACTGCAAAGCTTACTACAGCATTTATTCAGATACCACAGTCATGTAGCTATTAGGCCACAAGGGGGAGCGTCTGGCTAAACTTTGGAGACAGAATGATGTTAGAAGGAGTTCAGGTATACTTTATATTACAAAACTCCTTCAAAAGGTTTTTCTCTCTGTTCAATACATGCCAGCCTCTATTCTTAGTTTTGATTTTAAATACAAAAATCAAAAAAGCAGAAGCAGAAACGTTGATGCTTCCACTATTCTTATAAATCATTTAGTGTCAATACGAAAAGGGAATTTAGTGAAATAAAGGTCAGCATGATAGTGTTTGGAAATGCTTGTTTATTTTTCATGACTCCTGTTTATTTAAATTAGTTTGACTTTATTTTTCCCCTGGTGGTTTCACCCTCCAGCAGCAGCCCTATCCAAGCCTCAAAGTTTGAGAAACACTTTCAGGAATGAGATTTAAACTAACTTGGATTTCTTCCTCTGTGTCTGAGTGTTTAGATGTGCAAATGTAAAAAAACTTTCACAAATATTGTTTACATCACTATTAAAAACAGATACCTTTTGAGTTATGTGACTATTGTTGTATTGTTTTTAACCCAATTCATTCCAAACATTTTTTAAATAAAATTTATATATCAATTAGACAACATAAAATAAAAGTCAAACATCACACTGCATTTTTAATCACATCGGTATAAATGTAAAAATGATGAAACGTCTAATAACTAACAGAAATTAAAACATCTGTTCAGGTGTCGGAGAGCCTTGTGGTGAACCATGGTGACTTTCTTGTCAGGGACTCTCAGTCCAGTCAGGGTGACTTTGTCCTTACCAGCCGGTGGGAGCAGAAAACGCTTCACTTCCTCATCGGGAAGGCGGTGGTTCAGTCCGCTGAGACGTACACTCGGGTTCAGTACAGCTTGGAGGGCGAGGCCTTCGACTCCTTACCTGCCCTTGTTCATTTCTATGTGGGCAGCCGGGCGGCTCTGACTCGGTGGAGCGGAGCTCAGATTCACCAGCCAGTCAACAGGACGTTGCCACTTAGCTACCTGGAGACGGCTTTCCGCACCACTGCCGTCACCTCATCGGGTCAAAGGGGGCTGAGGAACGGTAGCATGGGAGGAGAGGAGAGGGTCTGTCCGAGAAGGTGCGGTTCCACTTGTTTAATTCCTTTTAAGTTACGATTTTTATGTGTAACATAATAAACGCACAGCGTGAACTCATGTGAAACACTCATGTGAACACACGAGGACTGTAAATGAATTGTCTGACTTTTGATTGTTTAAGGCTATAAAGTTTATTTTATAGTAAGAAAGAAAAACATAATCCAATAAAAAGTTTCCCACGTTGAATTTCTTGATTCACTTGGGGGAAAACAATGGAGGGCTTCATAGAGCAGTTAAGTAAAAACATGAACTCATCCTCTTTACAATCTTGTATTAATCTGCTACAGTAAATGTGGTGGATGAAATTAAAATGAGTCCTGTGGTTCTGTAATATGTGCCATCTCTCTCCATGTAGTCCTTCCTCTAACAACCACAAGGAGGCAGACGTGAACAGGGAACAGGATGGCCAGCTGAGTCCTGGAGAATTGTTTCTTTCTACTCCTTCTAGCCGCTGTAAGTTAAACCTTTTCTCTTCTTGCCTCACAGCTTGATAATCCCTAAATACTCATCAGTATTATGATAAATCAATAGTACAGCAGTAGGAAGAGGGTCAAAAAAAGAGTCTTATTTGGGTTGTTATTGCCCCAACAGCCTGGTCTGCCTGGCTTTTAGTCAACAGCCAGGAACTTCAACCTGATTCAGAGGATCTGTGGCTGTTTGCTCTCTGGCTTGTATAACCTCAGCAGCAGGTCACTTGTGTAGACCTGGGCTAAACCCTTAGACACTTTAACCTTTTAACATTTTTCACAATCGACATGATTTTATGTTTTAAATGTAGTCATTTTGCTTTTCCAGTAAAAGATGACATCTGATGAATAGTAAGAGTTAAAAGAAATCATTCAAAATTTATTCAAAGCTTAAAGTGTTTCCTTATCCAGAATTTAGATACTAAATGTGCATTAGTTCAGTCTTAAGAGAAGCATGACAGTGGACAGGCTGGACACAAACATAGTTGCTGTAATCTAGCTGATGTTTAATGCAAGGATGGGTCTCTGAGTTTAATGTATGATTATGTATAATGTATAATGAAGAATATTTATATTTCAATGTTTTAAACACAAAAGGAACAAGGAAACAGAAAAAAGAGCAAAGTATAACAAGATCTGGGCAAGAATAATCAGGAATTCTAATAAAGACATCAAGCTGTTGATAAAGGTGTGTGTATGTATGTATGTATGTATGTATGTATGTATGTATGTATGTATGTATGTATGTATGTATGTATGTATGTATGTATGTATGTA